AGAGTGATTATAAATGTATAATTAGAATATATCAAATTTTGATGTTTTTGAAATTTTGATTTATTTTCTTTATGATATCAACGATTACTATCAGATAAGTAACCTTTTGTATCGTTAATAATTTAACATGATACAAAATAGGGAAAATTGCAGCAGCAGTCCCTAACATTTTCTTTTTTGCAGACTTTGTCTAACCTTCATTTTGTCTGAGCGAAGGTTCCTAACATTTCATAAACATGCACTTGAGGTCCATCTGGAAAGAAACCGTCCAAAACACCATTAGTTGAGTGGAAAAATTCCTTGAACTATCTGCTACCGAAACAGTTTTATTGGATGTTAATATCTTTTTGAACGGTATTTTTGGATGGTGTTTTTGACGATTTTATTGGATGTTGATTCCTTAATTTTCCGGATCAACCGACGGTGTTTTAAACGATTTCCGTTCAGATGGATATATTTATGAAATGTTAAGAACCTCCACTGACACAAAATGAAGGTTAGGGTAAGGTTTGCAAAAAATGAAAATATTAGTAACCACTAGTACAATTTTCCCTACAAAATAGTATAAACAGTCCTTCATATCCTTTACAAGTGAAATCCGAGTTGAGACACATTTTAAATAACAAGCAAACATATATGTTTGTGTTGAGAGATTAAATGACAATAACGCCCTCGAAAAGCCTACCAACAACTACGGTTAATTAATTTTTCAAGAAATAAAATTATTCCCTTTGACCATAGGTGCATAAATTATTGAAGAAAAAGATACCATTAGGACAAGGGTGACAACAAATGCCATAGACAATGAGCTTGTCATCACGTGAAAGATGCTTTTGCAGTGATCGAAATTGTTATGTCATATGTGTCCTTTTTAAAGCCATTGAACATGGTAACTGAATAATTCTTGCTTTGGATCCAAAAATCATGTAGCTTGGACATAGAAATGTGTATCAATTATAATCATTCATCAACCGAATCTTGTGAAACATCATGAATCTTATTATGATGGGTTTTTCCTTTACATCTTCTTCAAGTCGAGATAGAGAAGACATGTTTTTAAGTTGACTGATTACGGAGTTTATTGTATATTTTCAATATTTTAAAAAAAAAATTAAATGGAAAATTGAGTACGAGAATTGGAATAATTTCTGTATTTTTTGAGTTTTCAAAATACTACCATGGGTGGTCACTCATAAATTGGATCAATATATGAAAGAGCGGGGTGAACTGAATTATCATGATACATGCCTACACCCTAAAGCTTAGAATACATGACGATTTCATTTAGGGAAGACGATTGGAGAATATTAATAGTTTGGCATGAGCTAAGTCATTTAGTATTAGACAAGACACTATGATTATTCTCGAAGTTATAATAGGATGACTAAGTAAAATAGAATTACCACCAACCTATTTTAATTATTTTTTGGAAAATTGGAAGACAAATATAAATGCATTTCTAAAATGTGACTCATAGAACAAATGTTCATGTGAATTCTTCTGCAATATTTCCTTTCAAGGGGACGGCTCCAACTTTATCTCCCATGGGGTAGCACAAAGCCTCGCTCGAGAGATTAGAAGTTTTGTTGCAATTAGTTTTAATATCAACTAATCTTTCCCATGGACACGGGTTTCATTCTAGCTTTATTTGAGTGCGTGGATCTCGATTGCATTTTCTAGTGTCTACTTACACGGACTCTTCGTAGATGATAGCCCCACCATCGATCCTTTTTTATACACTTGCGTGGCCTGTCCTATCGATCTGAACTTTAACGATCAAATGATCTGTATTCTAGAGAAGTCTTTCAGAGCCTTTTGACAATCTCAGTCATCTAGCTCCTTTCCATATGATCTGACCTTTGATAACCTTTAGCTAATCGATTATATAAACCTTGGGACTCACTAGCACTTATTAAGGCTAGTCATCATGAGGTCTTTGTCATAGATTATTAGAAGTGATCAGTCCACCAATTTCTTTGAGAACAGAAAGAAGTATTGCAAAGGATATTCCTTTATTAAGTTCGTTCTGAGCTCTCTTCTAACCATGAGTGGCGTATTATGGTATGACAATTGAACATTCTAGACAATCTAGTTCCATATGGTATTCATCCAAAGCTAGACTAGAATTCTTACCTACTAATTTCTTTAGACAAGTCTTTATTATGGTTTTGATTATTCCTCTATTATATAATTTTTGTTAATTTTGATTCATCGATATCAATTCTCTCTCTCTCTCTCTCTCTCTCTCTCATCCGAAATTGTCCCGTTTTTTAATTTTTATCTTTTTTCATTTGACCAACCTGTTTTTGGTAACCATTATATTAAAAACATCTCGAAATTCCACGTTACTATTTGGCGAAGTGGATTGGAAGGAATCTTATGCTGTTTGGCAGCACACTAACGACAATATATAAAAAAAAATCACAAAGGACACATCGGGATTCGTACAAATATATTTTTCAATTTAACAAATGGAATCTTCCGATCATCCACTTAGACATCACCTGCGTATGCTCTACAATAGAGAGCCCTCAAACTATCTGTTTCCCGTGAAATGTATTTTAATAATTTGCAAAATTCACTATTAAAATCAATATGTTTAGCCCTTGTTTGATCCCATTTTGAATAAAATGTATTATGTATTTGTAATTTTTTGAAAAGTATATAGTTAAAAAATAAAGAAATTTTTTTGAAATGCCTGTATAATTATTTTATAAAAAAAATGTGGTTAAAACGAGATTTGGAAAAATTAATTCTTGAAAAAAATAGAGCTCAACAGAGGATAAGTATAACTCTATTCTAGAGAAAGACGGTGTTCTATTTAACTAAATTTTTTTGCATCAATTAGAAATTAAGGATGTTTCTTGTGAAAATCTTTTCTAATTAGATCTCGTCGATCTAGCCATTGAAAATATATGAAAGATTCATGCTCATTGACACTCATAACATAGACCGACAAGAAAAGCAAGTGCTCAGCCCTACTCATTAATTTGACCAACAAAAATATTGAATATCTTAGACAAATAATGACTGTAATCATGATTATTCGAAGGTGTTTGACACCCATTTTCATGAAAAGATGAATTTTAGAATAGTAAATTGATGAAGAATGTGTGGATGGAAAATAAGGATTTTTTTTATTTACGTGTAATATTATTTTAATGAAAAATATGTGGTTAAAAAGAAAAGAGAGAAAAATGGAAATCTAACAGAGCCTTAAAAATTCAAATAAAATGTTTGTTTTACAGGATTTTTACTTTTGCTACTTGACATTCCCAATAAAATTATCTTAAGAGCCGCTTGACAAAATTTATGTTTCTCAATATAAGAGCATTTTGAGGAACTCAATGGCCTTAGGGACGGATCCATGATTAAATACAAGATCGGGCTAAAAAAATTTATATCGAGCTAATACACGAAAAAAATAAATAAATAAATTTACACATGAAAAATTGGTTTCTCATTATAAATAAATTAAAAAAAAAAACTTAGAAAACTTCTTGGGCTTGAGTGGGGGCGGGGGACTACAGCCCAGTCCCCCCCCCCCCCCAACCCAAAAAAAAAAAAAAAAAAAACTCTTTGAGCTAGATGAAATATTTTTAGAAAATTATCCAAGTGAATTTAAAAATAGATTCTTAATCTCAAATATAGTTTTTTAACTTTTTAAAAGCTTGCCAAATGAGCCCTTAATAAGAGTCATGGGTTTGAGGAATTTGGATGGGGTTAGGATTCTAGGGACTTAAAACACTGTTGAGATGGTCTTGGGTTTGATCGAGGGAAGGGCGTGGGGACATCTTTGGATGGTTCATACCTTGAGGACATATCCCGAGGATGATCACCATAAAACTTCGTAACCATCCAATATCTAATGCTCGAGCATTTATGTATCCGAGGATTTCTTCTAAGTCCCCGAGCAATATAGGTCCCGAATCGTGAAAAGGGTCCTTCCTAATCCTCAAAATTCCAAAAAACATCGGGATCTCTGAAGATTAACCATATCAGTGTCCAACCACTTATACAAGTTCAAGAAATACTTCAAAGTAATGGAATCTAAAGCTTGTAAAAATCTTGTCCATTTTTATTGAGAAGCGTGTAGAAATCTCTGTCACTCGACCCAGATTCCTTATCTTTATGTTCATTTAACCCCACACACAACTTTTGCATTCTCGTTCTGAAATTTTTTTTAATTAAAACTTGTTACATGTATAATCAAGATCCGAATTCGAATCTACTAGCTATTTATTTATAAAAGTTGCTAGTAGATGAATTCGACTCTGCAAAATAAGATTAAGATTAAATTTAAATAAATAAATATTATTTTTTAGTAGTTTTAATTATTGAATGAGATATTTCAATATTAATCATTCTTACATCTTGAACATTTCTATGGTTTCTTAATCAATTTCATATAACTTAAAAAATATATATATTTTTTTCTTTTCATTGTTGAATCGAAATTGAACTTTCCTCTCCTCATTATGTCAGTTTGCTTTATAGGTTGAAGAGCGACACAAACTTGTACTTAAAAAAAAAAAAACAACAACAAAAGTCATGCTATGGCACTTTTATATACAAAAGCGGATTACAAGGGATCATTATACAACCAGTCTACTCTTGAATGCCTTTTAGCGTCTGTGTTTTGTCTATAAAAGAACAAATGTTAATTTTAAAAATAAAAACATTATTCTTTATTAACCTCTCTACAAAGAAAATACTAAGATGATACCGAATTATGATAGGACATGACGAGACTGGACAGGACGGGATACCTATTTGGAAATTGCTCTTTGTACATCAATGTCACAAATGTGGGGCTCGTGATTATTTTAATCGTGGATCCTACTTTTTGCATGTGAGAGAGCTGTCAACCATGATCTCAAAATTACTATACTTGTAAAAAGGCTGAAATATGCGAGGAGGCGCAGTAGACTTATCCTAATTTGCACGTCTATACACCCACAAAACATACATACATATGGATAAAGTGTCAAAACTCGGCGTTGCTCAACAGAATCTTCGCGTTTCAATCGTTCTTTTCTCTTCCACTCTTTTCTCCCAAGAAAAAGCTACTTTTTTTCATTCTCTTTCTCAACACTACTATTCAATCCCGTACATATTTATATATAGAAAAATATATAGATACTCTCAGTCTTTCCTCGATTCATTTGTTTCTGGCTTCAGATTATTCACCACAAGAAAACAGAAATCAAAAGTTTCTGGGTAAAATATGGGATCAAGTCCACCTGAACTGGGTTTAAATTGTAGATTATCATCGGCAACAAAAACTTATATTCCCAAAACTATCGGTGATTTTCTTGCGGAAGTTTCGATGATCAGTAATACTTCTGAAAGGCTTTTAAAGCTTGATGATTACGTCAATCGACTCCAAGATGAAATGAAGAAAATCGATGCCTTCAAACGTGTTCTTCCTCTTTGCATGCTCCTTCTCAAAGATGGTCAGTTCATTTTTTCCTTCGCTTAGAAAAATTCATTATTTCAGCATCTAAAATATGTGAAAGTGTTCAATTTTATTGTGTGGAAATGAGTAATCAAGGTGAAATTTTCTTTCTCTTAAAGGCTTACACTACTAGGTTCTTTGCTGCTGGGGTATCTAATATATATATATTTTTTTAATAGTAAAATGGAAATGGGGGGTTTTGCAATTTTGATTAATGAATTTGTTTTTTTAACCTTTTTTTTTATAAAAAAAATTAAATTTGATGCCTGATTTCGGAATTTTATCAATTGCTATTGCAGCGATTGTGACAATGGAGGAAGAGTTAAAGCAGTGCAAGAAATCAAATACTCGACCAGTGTTGGAAGAATTTATACCATTGAAGAATCCTAATGATGATGAACATGAAAAGGTCAAGGCCACTACAGAAAATGATGCTAACAATAGAGATAAAATGAATTGGATGAGCTCTGTGCAGCTATGGAACTCAGATCATCACCATCAATATCCGAATCTTGATTTGCATAACAATAACCAAACCTTAAAACTGGATATCAAAAAGGTATAACAGAAATAGCAAACTTGTCCAATTTGATTTCTTGCATATACATGTTTATGTATTTTTTTGGTTTTGTTTCCTGGTAAAACAGGGAGTGGAAGAAGAAATTCTTCGGCCAGTTATGGATGATTTATTTCGGTCTGGTAAAAATAGGACAATGGGGAAGGAATCTGTACCTTTCAAAGGGTGTAAAAGTTATTCGGAGAGGAAGGAAGATAGGAGCGAATTGTCCGGAGTGACAGGGCTTTCGCTATGTACACAAAAAATGAAGAGTTCGAGAGAGGATATTGATTATAGTGGCTTGAGCTTGAAATCCAGTTCTAGCAGATTAGGTTCCTCTTTGGTAACTAATGTTGGATCGAATATGAGGACTGCACAGCAATCAAAGCAGCAGCAAACAGAAAGGAAGCAAAGGAGATGCTGGTCGCCTGAATTACATCGCAGATTTGTCGATGCCCTGCAACAACTTGGAGGTCCACAAGGTTAAGACTTGAACTACTTGTATGTTAAATGGTTGTTGCAATTTTGATTAAAAATTGGATTGAAATTATATTTTTTGTCATAAAGTAATTTGGATGAGATTTGATAATGTACGTTGATGCAATGCAAAATTCAGTCATGGAAGGAGAAAGTAAGGCGTATATCGAGCAAAGTGTGTGTCCTTGTGTTTGCTTCTTTTCATTGGTTTTTCATTGTTATGTGTTATGCTGAGAATAGAATTCCTAATTGCTTACTACGAATCCGTGCTCTTTGCAAAAAATGGATTGTCTGAGAGGAGGGATAAGAGTTGGTTCACTCAGAGGGCATATTCAATGAGTTATTGTTTCAACTTTCTCCACATGTTTGTAGGGAGGAATGAATTAGTACTGAACTGTATTAACAAAGAAAAAAAAGGTTACAATCTTGTTTATTATATTGTCTAGTCGAATTTAGTAATGTGAACCAAATATGTACTTAGAGTCGTTGCATATCTCATTTGGGAATTTATTATTATTATTTTTTTTTTCCCTTTCTCTGCAGTTGCTACTCCTAAACAGATCAGAGAACTGATGCAAGTTGATAGTCTCACAAATGATGAAGTGAAGAGTCATTTGCAGGTTGGTGTGAATTTGCATGTCTTCTCTTATTCCCTTCTTCTGTTGACAGTCGTATTTTTCTTTTCCTTACTTTTCATGATTTCAGAAATATCGTCTTCATACTCGAAGAGTTCAATGTACACCCACAAATCAACCTGTGGTACTAGGAAGTTTGTGGTTGTCCCAAGAACAGGGTGGGGAATCCTCAAAACCGAGCACATCCCAATCTGGTTCTCCTCAGGGACCTCTTCACTTAACTGGATCCTCCAGAGCAACTTCCATGACTGCAGCGGATAGCATGGAAGACAATGACGACGAAAACTTGGAGAGCCATAGCTGGAAAAATCGCATACATTTGTCCAATGCGTAGACGACTAAACATTCACCACGAGTTTTCATATGTAGAGAGTATATGTTGGAGGACTAAAAATTTTATGCATTACCCATAAAAGATCTTGAGGCAGACTGTTTTTTAAATTTTGCAGGATTAGAATTTTCCTCATCTATGTTGAATTGAGTTATTTTTATTATACAGAAATATGTGAATTTGAGCACTTCATTTCCTTTTCTTCCTTAATTTCTTCAAAAGAATAAGCATTTCTTTATAAGTAATTAAAATTCTTATTAATTAATTGATTCTTGTATGATTGTGTATTCCTAGTTATAATATTTCTTTACTTCGAAGAATCATGATGACAATTTTGCCAAAAAGATATGGAGATTCCTTTCAAGATTGGGCAAAACCAAACATTAGCTTTTGTCTACCTCAAGAAAATGTCATGGTCGACTCAACAAAGCACAGCAATATTGTAATTGATAACATTTCTTTTCTTGACAAAAAAATATGTAAAGTTCATGTAATGTGTCATTCACGTACTTGATATGAATCTTAAGGTTGCAGCACGTTCGGTAATTAAATTCTTGCAATGTCGTTGTCATTGTAGTCTTTACGACCAATCGACACATGATTGATACCTATGTAGTATAGTACTGTCGATTGCATATTCAACATAGCGTTCAGACTTATGTGCCTTCTAAAACCATATGTCTTCGAGCCTCTTATCTACGATTAGCCAATCTTGTGGTGGCAAAAGGCCTAGACGTCTCGCCCGCGCTATAATTTCTTGCAGTTCGAAAGGTAGATTACTTCATGGAAACATGTTAGTAGCCACAGTTGATTTTCATGTTAATTTAGATTACTCCATGGGAATGATTTGTAAGGAATTATTGTATTGTTGCCGACTATCAACTTGGAAAATGCATAGTTTGAAGAATATTTATATTCAAGATTCTGGGGACAGTATTATATTGAAGAAGATGCCAATGGACAAGATTTGTAGTTATCTACTCTAAGATATTATGATGGGATTGCTGTTTTATTATTTATTCATTTAACAACCTGTCAATGGAACAAATAGTCTAGGATTTAGGTTTTGAATAGAATGTGTTTGGTTTGACGGTAATATTTTATGTATTCTCTACGTGTATTAAATGGTTGATAGATAGATGGACAAAGAGAATCAGATTTCTTCAAAGTTCAACATCAAACAAAGAATGAATTTGTATGTACATTCCTAAATAACATTGTTGTTGATATAGGGTGAATTGTTAAAATTTGAGCCGTTGATTGTTTGAAGTATTGTAAAATCAATATATAAAAACTGTCAACTTGTAAGAATGTTATTCACAGGGACGAATTCAAACAGTTTGAACTATGTGGTCAAAAATGAATTTTTTTATAACAACGTATCATTAACGAAAATATCATTAACGAAAATAAGACCATAATGCTACTATAATAGGATTTGAGTTTGGGCTTTTTGGTCACTGGGCTAGGAAAATTAATTAGGTTGGCTCACTACTTTGGCAGAAAATTACGTTTTAAACAAGGAAAAAAATCCAAAAAAATGTGAGGTCATTTGACCCCACATGACCTCATGTGGGTCCGCCAGTGGCTATTCATGATGTCAAAGTTAATGTACATATAGCAAGATTGAACGAAGAACTCTTTTGTTAGTTGATTGTATATTTTTTTTTATGCAATATTGAATTTGTGACAGAACAATATAATAAATTAGATTTTTAACTTTTAATCTTTCGTAATAATAATATTTCTTGCCGTTTAGTATGATAAAGTAATAATATCATACAAGATAACGTACAAACATTTTAAATGACTGTCTTTAATTGAAATTTTTAATTGACCCTATCAAATATGGAATTAATTATTATTTCTTAAGGAAAATCAAAGTTGGCCCTTTTACCAAAAAGTTACATTCCACTTTGAAAATGCAAATTGTTGTTTATATATATCCAAAATGTTTGACAAGTAGTCCCTTTCACAAACAAGTAATGGAGAAAGAATCTTAAAGCAAAAATACAATGAGTGAACCCACTTTGATATTGCCATTATAAAAATGACAACAAATTGTTAGGTGACAAAAGTTGAGTGTAGAGAGGTGAAACTACCCAATTCAACTTTCCATTTAAAGTTAGGATTTTTTGGGTTGTTAATTGGGACGCTCGGCTCGTCCCATGATTCACTCGCGACTCATCAATATATTATATTTTTTACTTGTTATGATAAGTTGATTCGCACGAGAAGTTCATTGCCTAATTTGTTAGTGGACCTAATTCTTTCTAAGTTCTATCATTGATTGGATTCCATTTTCAAATTTACCCAATTCCTTGTTTTGTTTCATACTAACATAGAGAATAGTGGACCTAATTCTTTCTAAGTTCTATCATTGATTGGATTCGATTTTCAAATTTACCCAATTCCTAGTTTTGTTTCATACTAACATAGAGAATCTAACACTATGCAAAATACGATTATGACCATTAACATTAAATTAAGAATTTTTTAAAAAAAAAAATGTTTCACTACAAACTGCTAATCTCTAATTCTTGACATACATTCTTTCGAAAAAAATTGTCAAGGAGAATAAATATGTGGGTAACTCGATGAGTTCAAAACAAGAACATATCTTTACCTATTTTATTTTAATTAGATATTGCTCTTTTTATTGCCCGTTTTATTAGATATGACTTAATAATATCTTTGTTAAAAGAGAGATAAGGATTCAATTATGATTTAAACCTATAATTAGACTAAGTTTAAGAGCGGAGTGGAGGAAATTGTTCTCTTTTTTTTTTTTTTTTTTTTTTTTTAATATTGAAATCATTTTTTTAATTTATATAATTATCAATATTCAAATTTCGAATTTACGAGATTTTGAGTAATAGTTAGTTTTATGAACTTGGGGTCAAGAAGTCTCCTGACAAACATCATGTCAAGGCTTGCTTTCTTTTGATAGCAAAAAGCTAAAATAAGTGTTTGTTTGAGATGGATTATTTGAAGTGAAATGCTTTTTCTTTTTTTTTTCCTTTTTTTTTTTGTGAATATGTGATTAAAAAGTAGAAAAATTTATGGGTCAATATACAAAATTACTTTATTAGGAAAATGCGTAATTACAAATGAATTTGAAGAAAAATAATTTTCAAATAAATTGTATCAAACAAACGCTAAATAAAATTGAACTCAAATAAACACCTAGCTCTACTAACAAATATGAATATTCATCCCAAATTAGTTATTTTGTCTGCAAGGTCATAATTACTATCAAAAGTAATTTTTTTTTTTTTTACTTAAAAGTGATTTTTATGTATATTAGAGCATTTTCAAAAGATTTTCTTTCTCAAAAGAGCATTTTATGTATAAAAGAGAATAAATTTAATTTTTGAGAGAAATTTTTATACGGTCCAACAATGCTCTTTATTTTCAACTCTTTATCAATATATATATTGAAATATGTAACTTATTAAATTCATTTATTATAACAGTGGTGCTAGTGGTACATAGGGGTGTACCTAAACGTGTACACCCCTCTCACATGGGGTGTGAGATTCACCCGAATAAAAAACACTTATTTGGGTGGACCCCACACCCCATGTGAGGGGGTGTACACCTTTAGGTATAACCCATTATGTACCACTAGATTAATTGTTATCATAAAGTTAAAAATAGAGAATTTTAAACTCCCTAAAATATAGAGCGATTAACGGGCCACCATTGACCCGAACTGGCATCACAGAAGTTGGGCTTGACACCGAACAAGGCACTGGTGCCGAGCCCACGGGCCCTAAATTTTAGTTTTTGAAAAAATAAAAAAATATGTCTTTTGCACTTTTGTGAAAATTAGGTTTAGTACCTAGTCCAACTATTTTTCAGTATCAATTAAAATTTAGATTTTAACATAATCAAAGTCAACAATTAATTTCAACAACATATTTTAAGAGATCCACAACTTTTTAATCATACATTTCATCAACTTTTATCAAAATTTACTAAAAATCTAATTTTAATCCTTGATATATACTGAATGACATGAGAATCTTGCAGAATATTGAGTTGCAACTTAAAATTTATGGCAATTACTAAATTTAAAAAAAATTAAATTTTCTATTGTTATCATTAATTTCGCACATAAACATAAAACCCCTCTTTGACCACCATTCTTTCAAAATATTTTTTTCTCATACTCATTTTCAATAATATATTCTCACAATTTCACGTAAATTCAAAAAATTTTCTACTTTGTAATCATATATTCTCCAAAAAAATTTTATTTAAAAATTTATTCTAAAAAAAAAAAATGACTGTCAAACAAGGTCAAAGTAACATAAAGAACCTAAAATTAAGCTACTAATCTTAATCCATCCCTACGTTTGCATATTTTTCAAATGAAAGAAGTGGGTCTATTCAAATCACGACATATCGGACCTTCAACTACTCAAAACGCAACATCATTACGTCACATATTCACTTTATTTCTCTCTTAGCACCTCAAATGTCAAGAAATGGCTCCAAGGGACTCATCCATTCATGTAGTCCGCAGTCAAATTATCCCCAATTAAGGACAGATGGAAGGAGGTTATGGATCTGTTCAAGTTGGTCGATCAATCCTTCCTTTCTTATACCACCTCTGAAGTTAGCGACATGTTGAAACTTGACGTGAAAGAAGAATGAACGACCCTATCATATATACAAAATAGGAAGATCGATACTAAACTTGTCTACTATGGAGTTCTTAAAATCTTCACTTTTTCAATTTTCAAGTCAACCCTTTCTCCATTTTTATCCAAAGTTGTTTTTTGCTGTTCCTTTTTGCTTATTCAAACCTCATAGCAGCTATATCCAGTGTTTCTAACAAGAATTACTAATCATCTGAAGAATTCTTAGCATGAAGGGAATTTTAACTCAAAATTAAATAAACTAAAGAGAAATAAAGATCCAAAAAAGATTTGATCAGTCTTATCCATTTCTACATATATAGAGGCAAAATGAGTTGTTTTGAACAGGCTGCGTTATTTGGAAAATTGAACCGCCTGCTTTAAGCCCACACTGCAACAATTCTGCAACTTCTGGTAATAACTCGAAATGTATATGTGATAATGGTAGAAGATCATGGAACAAGAATGCTCGGAATACTATTTATTTTTTTTCATTAGTATACCAAATTAGTTTCTTTTTAATCGATTCAACAAATCATAATTTACCCATAATTTGTAAGAATACCTGTTTATGAGCAACTTTTGCAACCTTCTCCTTCAAATTTATAGTGCTTGCAATGGTGTCATTGATTAAAATGCTAAGATAATGTTGTTTTAATTAATTAATTAATTTTATTTATTTATTTATTTATTTTTTTGGCTAAATCTATCAATATTTGGTGTCATTCTGTGTACTGACTCAGCTGTTGCGGTGGACTGAATGGCGGCTGTTTGTTAAAATTGGGCGTTTAAGCATAAGCAGGGGAGTAACTGTAAGTAGTGCAATTTTTTTCAATATTTTTAAAGCTTATGCATTGTCAGAAAGCACATCATACTTGTATCTTCCAATTGTTGATGATAATTAAAAATGCTTAAAGAGACATTTTTAGAACATATTTGAATTCCTTTTTTCAGATATGATTTGATTATTTTTAAGATAACAAATTCTTGGACAGACCAACAGTAAACACATCCATGCCGAGAACTATCAAACAGAAGCCAGTGCAATACCTAGACTTCGAGTTCAGGCTGAGAGATACGTAGTCCCGTTCTTCAATAGTTCGTGAACAGTCTATGCATTAATTTGCTAGGATTCCTATATGTAATTATAAAATTACCTAAGTGGATGATATCAAGCAGTATTTGTCTTCTTTTTCAAGTGTGAATTAGATTTATTGCAGACATGGCCATTAGGTTGTCACAAGTATAGTGGCATTGCCACTCTCTCAACCATCTTAGGATTTTTCTTTTTGTTCTCTCTCTGGTTAAAAATAGAACCTGTGCAGATCCTTTCACCTTAGAAGATATGGGGCGTAAAACCTTCTACCCAACTACTGCTTTCTTTTGCTTGATCTTCTATTTTGCACCCTTAGCCAAAGGCCTACCTGATTATGGTTACCATGATAAGTTCGATGGACGTCTTAGTTGCAATTTCTATGATAAATCTTGCCCTAACTTCCTCATGTTAGTTAAGTGGGGTGTTTGGGCAGCGTTCAAGAATGACACGAGAATAGCTGCATCCCTTCTTCGGCTGCATTTTCATGACTGTTTCGTAATTTGTGAATGTAAGATATAGCCTTCTTGTCTAATTTTAAAGAGTCAAAATTGTTTTTGCTCGATATTTATTACTTTTCCTCTTGTTTTGTAGCTCTTAAACTGAGTAATGTGAAACCAAACATTAGAAATGAAGATTTTTCAAATCATGTTATACTATGCAGGTATAATTTGTGCATTGCGTCTGCCAGATAATTTTTAGGGTTAATGTGTAATGCCTATGCTTGGCCTAGGGATGTGATGGCTCTGTTCTTCTTGATGATACTCAAGAACTCAAGGGTGAGAAGAATGCTTTACCCAACCGCAATTCAGTTCGAGGATTTGAAGTTATTGACAGTATAAAGGCAGATGTACAAAAATCCTGCTCAGCAATTGTATCTTGTGTTGGCATAATGACTCTTGCAGCTAGAGAAGCTGTTTCTTTGGTGAGTCACATCGATGACTTATTTTACACGAATTATATGCTACTAGACAAGATGGTTCATCACGATATTGAAGCAGATAAAGGTTGTGGGTTCAAGTCTCTCTGCCACCCATTTATGAAAATTGACTTTTGAATAAAAAAAAAAAAAAAAGGAATTTGGTCTACACCTGAGGGGCAGGTTAAGAACTAAATTTAGTTGAATAAATGTGTCCCCTCTCTACCAACTAAAACTTTTTAATGAGGCGATTCAAAGAGCTGTTTACTTTATTGCAAGATCGATGAACTTTGAAGATTTACAAATTTACTGTTTACTGTTTATTTGGTAATAGTCAGGAGGGCCTTATTTGCCTGTTGCTTTAGGCAGGCAAGATGGATTAACTGCAAGTGAGAAAGCAGCAAATGAACAGTTACCATCACCTTTTGAGCCTCTATAGAATATCATTGCCAAGTTTGTAGCCAAGGGTCTTGATTTGAAGGATACTGTAGTTCTTTCTGGCACTTCTTACTTTCTGTTTCCTTGTAATACCAAGAAAAAGAAGATTACCTGTCACTTCAAATATCGTTATTTAGATGCTAAAACAATTTTGGGAAAAATGGTATCATTTTTAGTCTCTGTGTGAGTATAGATAGATCTTTCTTGCATGCTTGACATGATGGAATAAAGAAAAGAATTCACATATCCAACTCCAAATTTCTTTTGAAAAATGCTAAGTTGTAGTTGTAGTTGTAATTGTAGTTCTTTTATATTTTTAGGAGCAAATACTATTGGTTTTGCTCAATGCTTCACTTTCAAGAGGAGGCTCTGGAAAGCCAGATCCTACGCTCGATTCTTCATTTCTCTTGAACTTGCAGAGCACTTGTTCTGATGCTGATGCATCAAACAGCAAGCTTGCTCCTCTCGACTCGCAGAGCATCTACAGGTTTGATAACATGTACTATAAGAACCTGCTGAACAACACAGGCCTTCTTGAATCTGATCAAGCTTTAATTGGAGATCCAAAGGCTGCTGCAATGGTCAAGGACTATAGTATGGATCCATTTCTCCATTCAAAAGATTTTGCAGCATCAATGGTAAAGCTTGGAAATATTGTCTGGGGAGATTCAAAAAAAATGTCGCTTCATAAACTAGTTTGCATAAGAAATGCTTTTCATCTTTCCATCAAAAATAATCGTGGCGTCTATGATAAGGCATGTGAGACACTACTAGAAAATAATAATAAAGAAAAATAGTTAATATCTTATTCATTTTACTGACAGACGCCGTTCAGTATAGTGTACCAAACATGTCATTGATGTGTTATCATTAAGGGGACTATAATGGTCCTTACTCAGCGCTTTTGGAAGAAATATTATCCTTGATAATTGGATTTAGATGACTTCCACAAACATTTATCAAAGTATTTTGTAACATAACAAAGAACAAGAGAACTTTTGTTCCTTGACTTTTCGAATTGTTAAGTAACATCTTCTTCCAAGATAATATGCACAGCATAGGTACTTGGGTTTTTCTTTTTCTTTGATAGATTCCTTCAGTAATTTACTATGCAATGCTCTATAAAATAATGTTTACTGTGTACCGTCAAGTTTTTTGTTAAATGTGCTTTGGAGTCCTTTATTATATTATGAATGCTGTTAGTCAATTCTTCTTCTTGATTTGCTAAATTCTGTAGTTTTACTGATGTGTTTATACCATTATGGGCATAATTTGGATTCCTGGTCTAGAAATAGAATGGAAAACCTTATTTCCAAAAGAAAAGGGTCTTGGAAATTTACTTAGGCCCTGTTTGAAAAATGTTCTTTCAAGAAAATATATTCTTAAATAGTGATTTGACATTATTTTAATCACATATTCTTCAATAAAATAATATTATACGCAAATCCAAATTTTTTTTTTATTTTTTAACCACACATTCCCCATTAATCTATTATTCCAAAATACAAAATAATGTGGCTCAATCACACACTTAGTCCCTGTTTGAGCCATCTTTTAAGGGGAAAGTAGAAATTTTGGGGCTGTTTTTTTCAAATGTAGGTCCCACACTGGACACATTCAGTCAAAAATGGTGGCTGAAAAGTACTTCTAACTGTCCATTTTTTCATTTTTAGGAGCTAAAAATGCCCTCCAAACAGGATTTTAGTATTGAACTAGAAATAGAACATTTCGGAACGAGACAAACAGAATAGAAAATCCTACTTTTGAATGAATTCAACTAGAAATCTACACGGCTGGTGCTAAACTACAAATAGCCCTTTCCTCTGGTCGGAAGATTTTGAAACAACATATCACGAAGAATGAGTAGACAGCACAAGAATTCAAGGAGAAGTGACAAAAAGAAAAAAAGGCAGTCAAATTTTTGTTTAACTCGAAATATACTTAGCATTGAAGTAAGAATAAAAAAAGGGCTTTCATTCAATTCGAAATTTACCGGTACTAAACTACAATTAGCCCTTTCCTCGGGTTGGAAGACTTTGGAACAAATATTTCAAAGAATATGGTAGAAAGCACAAGGATTCAATGAAAAAGTGACAAAAACAAATAGAAAAGCTGGTGGGATGCATTTGATTCTAACTTAAATTTTGTACTATCCATGGAAATCTCTGTTCTTTGTCTCTCAAGTTATTTCAACTGTGTGTGAGAGAGAGAGAGAGAGAGAGAGAGAGAAATATATGACATCTTTTAAGGGCATGGATTTGTCAAAATTATTACATATAAAATAAAGACAACATCATCACCATCCCCAAGAGAATTATTCTCTTCTTGCACTAAGATTCCCTTTCCCTTTCTGCGCCTGACACCCCCACCCCACCGCCCCAATTTTATTGGGATTAAGCTTTCAGTTGCAGAAAAAAATCCAATTTGGCAGCTTAGGCCTCTCTGAAGGGCATGGCTATATTTTGAGGTGGATCGTCACTTCTAAAATTATTTAGGGTCGACATGATTATTCTATGTCAGCTCGGTCATATATTCCATACAATTTTCATATCCCTTTTCGCCTTTTATCGAATTTAACCTCCATACAAATTAGAGAACTCAACAATTAGACTAATAGATTTTACACAGTCCAAACATAGGGACGGGTACATTTTGACATCATTGGACATTGACGGGTATAGGGAAGCTGAACTGGGCGACTCGAACCCAATACAAAATTTCCAAAAAAAAAAAAAGAAGAAGAAGAAAAAGAAAAATTCATTTTTTTTTTTTAATATATATTAGTCTGTCTTAAATATTTTTTGTCATAAGTATCTGCCCCCTGCTATTGGACCTCTCAATATGCATAAAACTAGAGAGATCAACCCTCTAGGGCACATTCCAACTGGTAAATGACGGAATTCTTTAAGGGGGACAGTTCAGAGGTCGCGGGTTCGATTCATGGGCTCTTGAAAAGCAGACTTTCTCCTGGAAGGCAAGATATTTCCTGGAAGACAGGAGTTCCCCCGAAAGGCAAGGCGCATACATGGGTTTGACTCGCTCGACACTTTGACAGTTCAGTTGGGAGGGCTCTTGGACCTTGACCAGTTTGGGGCACAACCCGCGATTTACCTGATCTGCGTAAAGAGGGGCTTGATCGTAGGCCCCAGGATTAGTCGCTGTATGGACCTGGGTGTAAAAAAAAAAAAAAAAAAAAAAAAAAAAAAACTACTACTAGAGAGATCAAAAGAATAAAAGCAACGCTTTAATTTTTTGTGGTTATTTTATATTTTTTCTCATCCAATAAAGTTCAAGACCTTGAAATCTATCTTATAATTTTGATGATCATCTCCTTGTAATAAGAAATTGATGAAGCGAACCTATGGGGGAAAAAAAAAAAAAAAAAAAAAAAAAAAAAAAAAACTACTACTAGAGAGATCAAAAGAATAAAAGCAACGCTTTAATTTTTTGTGGTTATTTTATATTTTTTCTCATCCAATAAAGTTCAAGACCTTGAAATCTATCTTATAATTTTGATGATCATCTCCTTGTAATAAGAAATTGATGAAGCGAACCTATCACCAAAAATGGAAAGAAATATTATTTTTTGTTTTTTTTTTAAAAGCATTATTCTTAAATAAAAATTAAATTTTTGATATAATGTATTTTTTGAAAAGTTGTGAATTCTTTTTAATATTAACATTTTTGCCTCCTCAAGAACAAAACTACTCTCTACACTTCAATTTTTTTTTTTCATAAATTCCCTTCTCTGATCCTTTTTCACCCATACTTCGGCTATGTTTCAGTACAACAAAAGGCAAAAAACCTAGAATATCATCTTAAACCAAGATCCAAAAACCAGTAGAAACAGAAATATTTGTTGCCACAACTGAAATGTCTACTTCTGATACACCCTTATTAGACCCTTTGCAGCAACAGCAGCCACCGCCGATGGTGGTGGCAGCCCAACAGGCCTCCACAGGTCATTCGGATCATGGGTCGGTTGGACCTGTTATTGGGGTTCTCGCAGTGGTAGCAATACTTGGTGCAATTGCTGTGATGATTGGCAGGCTTTGTTCCGGTCGGAGAATAATGGGTCGTGGCCGGTACGATTTTGAAGAATGGGCTGAAGCTAAATGCGCTTCTTGCATTGATGGTCAGGTTTTTCCGCCCCCGCCTCCACCCTTGGTGGTGGAGGACAGTGTCAGCAGCTCATCCGGCGAAGCTGCCCCGGCGGTGGTGCCCCAAGATGAAACACAAACACTTGAAGAAGATAAAGTCCCGGAACAACAAAGTAATTTGCAAAACTGAAATCATCAATTGAACGTGAAAGAGCTCAGTCTCTACTTTTGAAGTGATCGAGTTGTTCATTCTATTAAGCAATCTCGTTTTTTTTTTTTTTTTGGATTCGTACACCATATTCTCCTCTTGCGAAATGGGATTAACTTCTCTATTATTTTTGGGGAGTAATTTACATTAATTTTGTTTGGAAATTTCGTGTTAAGTTGGCTTAATTTCCAAAAATTTGCAATTTTTTTTTTTTAAATTTGGAATACTATTTAAAACATTTTGACCAAAATAATAAAGAAATAAATCTTCAGCGAGTCAAAAAGGTTTTCGAATATAACAGACGTGACTTCATGCAAAAAAGAGAAATTCCACTGACTGCTTTGACCGTAGTTTTGTCAGTGAATAATTGGAGGTGAGCGGAGATCCCAAAGCTATCGGTGGTCCGGCTACCACCGCCATCACGCAACCAAGATCACCACCGCAAACTCCAATCTCCACTCAAAACTGCCACCGTTTTCCGATTCTAGAATTTGACGACCGCACGCACCTATGGCGAAGTATTTTAATGGGATGCAAGGCATAATATCCGTTAACATAGCATCTTTTTGGAATTTATTTTTATCTTCTTAAATTATATTTTTCAAATCAAGCATGTTAATTATTTTAATTCTTGACGAATATTCAAATAGTTAGATTTCAACTGTTTTAAGTTGAACCAAATCATTTGAAAAAAGTTTAATTTGATTTTGAACTTATATTACTTATTGGATTATTCTCCTCGGAAGGGTCACCTCGGCTATGTTCAAACAGGGGCACCACGACCCCTTCCACCTCTATTTGAACAAGGCGGAGGTGACGTTATTCAAATAGCATGACCCTTACTTATTTTAGTCAAAATATATTATTCATTAAATCAATTTATACATCAAAAAAATTAATAATTTACAAGGATTCTGTTGACTTTTTTGGAAAACAATAATTTAAGATAATATCTTTTTATTTCAATAAAAATGTATTTACAAGATCAAATTTTATGACTAAACCTTATATTGATTTATTGGTTAAAGTTTGCATCTAGACAAATATATTTGTATTATATTTTTCATGTCTAAAAAGTTTCAATTTGAGTTTTACGTTGAAATTTCACATTTCACGCAAATATATTTAGTTATTTACTGGTTAAAAAACTCTTTTAAGTCATTAAAAACATAGTTTGAAACCAAATCAAACCCAAAAAAAAATTAAAAAAAAAAAATCTTTTGAAACATGAAATGATTTGATTTGAAAAAATTTAAACCATTTAAAATTATTTGATTTGAAAAAAGTTAACAAACTTTTCAAATCGAATCGTATTCACCCCTCATTGAAATCATATATTTCATAAGAACCGGGAAAAGCAAAAGGAAAAAGCATTTCGTTCCAAACCCTCCCTCCTGCCGCCACGCCTTCATCCACCGGAGCACCCATTGTCAATTTCATCTTCAGGGATTTGATCAGGGGTTTGCTAGTGAAAGAACCACAGCACAGGTTGGCTTATAAAAGAGGCTCAATTGAGATTAAGCAACACCCTTTCTTTGAAGGAGTTAATTGTGCGTTAATATGCTGGTGCCACCGCTCCAAAAATCTCCAAGCCTGTTGAAATGATAGAATTGTTGAAATTTGTTTTTAAATTATGCAACACAAATGTTATGGAAAATCCACGATGTTAATGATCAGGTTCGTGAGATTTCTAAGTAATACCGGATTGATTTAGAGTTGGATATCTGTTGTTGCTGCCTGTCATAGATTATGAATGCCAGTTGATCATGACCTCCCTCAACTTGCATGGTTCCAATCTTCCAAATTCATGCAGCATGGGTAGGTTTTAATTTGAGAGGACTGGGATGGATTGCATTTGAACACGATGAACTTTAACAATAGAAATGCACTTTGTATAATGTTTTTATGCATACTTCTGGGAAAAGTTTCTTGAATTCCAAGCAATGTAGGACTAAATCTATATAGTATGTGCTGATATTTGTGCCAGACACTGCGCAAAATCCAATGTATTGGTGCTCGGGTCGGCAAAGGCATGACAGCAAGAGGGGGGGGTTTGGAACGAAATGCTTTTTCCTTTTGCTTTCCCGGTTCTGTGGTTTTGTCCCTTTTGTTTAGTTTAACATGTTTTTTATTTTTTTCATTGAACCTTAAGTGCCAGCTCAGCAAAATTCAAATCCCTATTTCCAAGCCTGTGTTTTAAACCTGGTTGACTAGCATTTTTGTTCAAAATATAACCCTCATCTACCCTAGTGAGGGAATGGTAACTAAAGTAAACAGTAACAGAGTTAATCAAGGCATCAGAATCTTTTAATTGGTCACTAGACAGTACAAGATATGAGACGTTAGACAATGTTCAGTCTAAAGTAACAAACACACCTAACAAAGCATGTACCGTAGCAAATACCGTGCTTCATTCCAGGCACTTCAACTGATGGGGAAACGTGTCTTAGTCCAAGTTATCCACAGTTCCTAACGGACAAGCAGCGTATTCTTGTCCCATCCAGGAAACTAAAATTTTCTCAGATTACACAAGCCAGTTTTTCAAATGTCAGGAAGGGTAGAAATTCAAATTTTGTAAAGACAAATCTGATTACAGCATATGAGTCAAGTTCTTGTATGAAGATTCCAGCTAGAAGATAGATAGCCAGTATATTCACATCCCTATCTGAAGTCCAACGACAAACCTGATCTAAATTCTTAATAACAAAAATCATAATGTGACCATCTATGTGCACAAGTGGCTTAATGCTCTATAACAATGAAGTAAATGAAAGTCGTGGTAGACACCGTAAAACGAAACAATAGCATGAAAATGTTCTCCTTGCTATTAATGTCGTCGGAAGTTAATTAGCAAAATATCAGGTAACTAAAATCTAATTGCGACTGGGACATGGTTTTCCTTAACCTATTGTGTTATGATGTTTGTCTTGCCTTGACATTCACTTAAGTTCAGTTGATAAGTAATTCTTCAGCTGTAAAATATACACTTGTCTTGCAAATGGTTTTAAGAAATGTAAAGGCTTGGAGCAATTGCAAATGCTTTTCCTAAATGATGAACAGTTATTGGATAATACTTCCACAATGTGCAAATTTAAGATAGCCATTCAACTACTGCAGCAGCCAGGTACATGAGTAGGCCTTCATTTATCAACAGCAGAAATTTCCTAGACAAAGGAAGTTCAACAGAATATTTTTACAAGGAAAAATAGAAAGAAATTATTTCAGAGAAGGTGCAAGTATTAGTCTTACATTCATACATAAACAAATCAAGCTATGTTCCACAAGCAGTTGACATCAATTCTAGTTGTGTTGACTCCAAGGGTCTGTTTAGCAGAGAAGTTGAAATTGCTGACAGTGTTTTGGTTTCCGAGAGTAGAGAAAGTTGTCAAAAGGTTGGTGAATGGAAGAAATCATTATTCTCAAATGAAAAATGATAATTCCAATCCAATTGGTTTTTGTCAAGTATACCCATCTATTACAAGTCATTATTTAAGATGCTTGCCAAGTAAGTTTGTTTATGGTACTGGAGAAAATTATGAGGAACTTTTTGTGGAAACATAGCCAAGAGGGGTCTTTACAAAATCTTTTGTTACCTCGGGATTTGGTAACAAGAAATGAAAGTAGAGGTGGTTAGGAGACAGGCAAACTTGGAAGAATTTGGCGAGGGCAAGATGGCATGGTTATACGGAAAGTGATGGTTCTGGATCATTTGGTTAATTTGGACGGAGAGAAACCAAATGGTTTTTGAAGGAAAATAGCAAGAAATTTCTATGTTACAAGATAATACTAAGTTTTCAGTGTCTTATCCTTTTTACAAACAAAGAGTTCAAAGGTGTTTATTCCTCCAATCATTCTTAGTAGGAAAGATATTTTGCATTCTTCCGTTTCGCTAATTATTTATCCGTTCTACTATGGCCAGACATATTTTCTTATGCACATTTTTCCTTATAATTTACCAACAGAGGACTACCACAACAAATTTCAACATTAAACATAACCATAACTGCCAGCTTAAGAAAAATAATGGACAAGCATAAATACTTCTTCGGATTCAAGCCCATTTAATATCGGTTTCGAGTTCCAGTATCTCATATAACTTTCCTGTTAACCAGAGGAGATATTGTAGAAACTTCACAGCCAACAAGATATAAGTTAATGATCATCTGGTGCAAATCATAATTGCAAAGCAAAGCTATTCTTACATTTGGTAAAAAAAAGTGAGTAAATCTCTCCCTGTTCGTTTGCTCATCTTGATGAAAGCCGTAGGTATAGATCATCAGCCAGGGCTTGCCTCAAACTCTCCCCATAATAATGAAAGGATTTCTCATTCTCCAGCACCTTAGGAGGTTGCCCATTCTCTTCAGGCTCCTTCCAAAGCTCTGGTTCAGGCTCCCTTGCGATCTGGCACAGATTATGCAACACACAACACGCAACAATTGTTTGTGGTGCATGGTTGAGTCCCACGTTCAAGTCCTGCAGGATCTTCCACCTCCCTTTAAGCAATCCAATGGCCTCCTCCACCGTATTCCTTCCTTTCATCAATGCCTCATCAAATGCATTTTGTGCTGGATTCCCTGTCCTGTTATAACTAAATGGCGTAAGCAAAAATGACAGCAGAGGAAAACACCAGTCTCCCACTATGTACGGCCTCACATGCTGCCCTCTAACATTGATCGCCTTATCCCACACAATGTCACCAGAAGTCAACCTGTTATACAACAAACTATCCCTAAAATGCGTGGAATCATCATAACCACCCGGAGCCTTCACACACACGTCCCAGAAAACCTTCTTGCTGTCAGCAACAACCTGCAGCAAAATCGAGGGAAATCCATATTTACAGTAATACGTAGAACCATTAATCACATCAGGACTAAGCTTGTGCAGCTTCACTGGAGTCGAATCAATAGCCCCACAAATATTCGGCAATGCAGTTAACTCCTGAAATCCTTGAGTATTCTCCACAAGACGACGTCGTGAAACTGGGATTTTTATAAATTCAGGGTAAAGCTTAGTAGCTAATAGGCGAGTAACCATGTTCGTAATCTTCGAAATCAAATACGGTTCAAGGGCATAACGGGACGCAAGTGTTTTGAGGGAAAGGCCATGAGAGAGCCTAGACAGGACCATAGCAACGGCATAATCAGATGGCAAAGAGAGCTGGGATTGCGTAATGTACGGCTTAAGCTTATCAACAACAGTAGTAAATACTGGGTAGGACAGGCCGTAGAGGGATCGCCACTGTGCGTCTCGGAGGGGGGCTTCCATTGCCCATATGCGCTCGGTTGAGAGGGCGCGGAAGGCGGCTACCGAGAATTCTGACGGGGGTTTGGAGGAGGAGGAGGGGGAAGAGGCTTCGGAGGGTTTTTTAGGTGAGTTAGAAGCGAGGTAAGAAAGGACGGAGGCAAGAGTGAAGAAGAGGAGGGGCGCCGCGGAGGTGGAGGTTAGGAGAGAGGTAGGAGAGGATACGTCGGAGGAATAGGCGGCGTAGGATGAATCGGAAAGGAGTGAGTTCGTCGGATCAAGGTGGTTGTGGAGGTGTAGCAAATTTGATAGCATTATTAGAAACGATTGATCCATTTTTCTTCTAATTTGGGGATTTCTCTACTCTCTAGAAATAAAAAACCCTAGAGAGAAAGAGAGAGAGAGACTGAGCGTTTGTTGAAGAGACCGGCCCGGTGGAGGAGGGGGGAATCGACAGTTTAAACGACAGCGTTTTGTTCATGGTTGATAATAGTGACCGTGCGTGTAATGAATTAAGCCACGTGTACATTAACATCTTCCTTGACGTTGTATGAGATGTCAAAATCTAGACTACTAATTGTTTTAAGCGTTCTTAAAATCAATGACAAAATGTGTCATGTTACACAATGTTAACAAAAAACTATCAAATAAATTGTAACGATAACAACACTGGTGTGTGGTATATGTTGAGCCCTTTAATGCATCACGTACTATCCTTTGTTTTAACGCCACGCCATTGATTGCAAATTTTTTAAGAATAATATTATTTAGTATTATCAGTCTAAGTGTCATAGCATTACTCTTTCTAGTGAAACGTTTTGCTTAGGATCTAGATAAAGGGTAATTAGCATAAAATATCCATATTTTTTAATGTTATTTTGTAAAATACCAACAGGTAAAATGCCTACTTTTCCTTCTGTTGGCATTTTACCTTGATTTTCACCTTCCATTGTGGAAATCATCCCTTTCATCCATTGTCAGAATCATCCAATTTTCCAATCAAAAAAATATAAAATGACACTCACACACGCATATACACACACTCCTATTTAAATAAAAGAAAAAATAAATTGCAATTACACTCCCAAACTTTTTTAAAAAGTAAAAATGAATAAAAATAAATTATTAAAATGGTAGTTATCACAAAACATTGTTACCTTTCAATTATTTGATATTTTTACCCTAATTTTCACATTTTTTTGTGAATATTATCATTTTCATCCATTTTCTAAATTAAAAGTTGTAAAATAACAAATATACACTGCTATTTAAATAAAACAAAAATAATTTTTAATTATTTATTTGAAATTTTTTTGTACTTTTTTGAAAACTTTTGAAGTATAATTGCAATTTATTTTTTATTTTCTTTATTTTTGTTTTATTTAGGCCCTATCTGGTAGCGATTGTTACTGTCCAGAAAATGCTTTTTTTGATCGTTGGATGAGGTAGTGGGACCCGGGCTGCAGTTCTTCAATTAATATGTCAAAAATGTAGCCGCAATTTTGGACCGTTTTCCTGGTAAAATGACATTTCTGCCCTTAACGGTCAAAAATTTTGTTATGACAGATGGGCATCTTCGGTATTCACCTTTTACTTGATTTTAACTGCTGCCACAATGGGACCCATGTACTGTAGCTAACGGGCAAAATTCTCATTTTAATTCCGGAAGAATCACTCCCAGACAACCGCTTAAATAGGAGTATATATTTGTTATTTTACATCTTCTAATTGAAAAAATGGATGAAAATAATTATTTTCAAAACATAATATGAAAATAAGGTTGAAAATGTCAAAAAATGAAGAGTGTAAACGTTTTGTAAAACAAAATTGAAAGGTATGGACGTTTTGTACTAATTACCCTTTTACTCTTTACATTTTTTATAAAGTTTCGGAGTATAATTACAATTTGCTCTTTAATTTCCTTTTCTTTCTCTTTATTTTATTTAAATAGAAGGGTATGTTTTTCATTTTTCATTTTGTTATTGAAAAATTGGATGAAAATGACGATTTCTGTAATAAAATATGAAAATATGGGTGAAAATACCTAAAATGAAATGAAAAAACATTTTGCACAATAATATTGAAAGGTAAAGACGTTTTGTGCTAATTACCCTTTAAATAAATGTTAATTTTTTTGTAAATTATGATAAATTTGGGTAAAATATATGATAAAAAAAAAAATTGTTTTGCCTTTGAGAGAAGGTTTGGCTATGGGGAGAATGGCGTCGAGCCGAAATGTGATTCGTTGCAGGTGATTAAAGGTCATGTTTAATTTGCTTAAATACTAGAGTTTCAGTGAATTCTAATAATAAAATATGTCATTTAAAATGAGTTTGTAAAGACAGAATTTTGATAAAAATTGAGATTAAACAGGACCCAATGTCATTAATCTGATTTTTCTTTGCATCACATGCCACTATTTTCGCCCCCATTTGATGGTCATTATTGAGAAAAAATGATGTTTTCAATAGTAATTTTTTGAAAAATATGTGATTAAAAGGTAAGCGAAAATTTTGAATTCACGAACAAATTATTTCATCGTATGAACATGTGATTGAACTGAGCACTTTATTTCAAGACAGGCAAAAACTAACCCACGAGCTTGCCTTTTTGCAAGTGTTAACCTAGTTTAGTACTGAGAATAAAACAAAGAATGGGTCTCCATTGATACATAGCAAGCAACTTCAGGCAATATACTCTCATCTTAAGTTGCAGTGCCTTTCATTACCTGAAAATCTTCACACCAAACAAGAACCCTAATCCACATTCTAATCAATGATGTTCTTACACATAACTATAGACAACTAAAACAAGTAAACTTCTATAACATTATGAAACTCCAAAAGAATGAAAAATTGAACGATAATTATTGTAACAAGCACTTAAATATCTTAAAATTATGAAACTAACTTCCAAAAAAACCAAAATAATAATAATAATAATAATAATAATAATTCAAAACATCTCATCACATTGAATCCAGCTACAAAATTCGTAATACGACATGTTTTAGCATTTATGTTAGTTTGATAATTTCTCTCAATGAGCACAATCCAGTAATTCAGCTAAGTTGCTGCTATTGGTTCCCGTAACCATTCGAAGATGCCCCGTTGGCAGCTGCACCTGCAAAATATCCATTCCCGTTGTAACCTTGCCTTCCATAGTAAGACCCGTTCCATTGATTGTTGGCATCAGTTCTCATCTGCAAAACAAAAGGAAACATCAAGACAGTCAAAAAGAAAACAGAATGGTTTCATCGTGTCCGGCTAAGCTTAAAATTTTTACTAAGAAAAGATATATTTCGTTTCAAACTTATTCAATTATAAGCAAACATTTCTAAGCTTAACCAAACACACTTTAAATAACTTATTTTCAACTTTGACTCAATAAAATTATTTGTTCTAAAACTTGACAAGTTTTTAAAGCTTATCCAAACTGCACAAAGCTCATCTTTGGTTTACAAGTACAGTTCAGAAAACAAGATAAATACAATTTTTGAATTAATATTATATTACTATTTTTAGATCAATATTGTGAAACTAAGGTTAAATATGAGTCATAAATGTTTTGTAATACAATATATAAAAACAACACTGTTAAGTTGACAAGGCAAAACTCTATTGGGTGGTCGAAGAAGAAAATAATATGCCCAATGACAATCTAAAAACTTAAAATTGAGGTTACCACTTACTTGCCTGTTTCCCAGATTTCGACCCCAAGAAAGACGAACTGTCTGCTTACCGATAACTGTCCCACTTAACATCTGTATTGCATCCTCTGCATTGCTTCTATTAAAACAGGAATTTAAAATTATTATGCAATGCATCGTAGCTCTATGTTTCAAACATTCAAACAATATAACAGTAATCTTCCCAATATACAATAATTCTACAACTTGAGGTTTATTCATAGTCATGCTTCAAAGTATTGTTTCTACAAACATAAACATTAGCAATCATTCGACATATTTTAAATTCACGTGGGGTCCACTAATTTTATGAGTGTGAGTACACCATTTTGTCAACAAGATTTTGTGTAAATATTGTAGAATTATAGCGTAAAGTAAGTGAGGAATTGTAGGGATTTGTTACAGTTATTTTTGGTATCTTGTTCTTAGTTTAGTTTCATTCCTTGATTTGTGGAGATCCACTCCTCAATTAGGGCTGATTGAGTCCAGATTTTATGATGGCAGATTCCACCATAACCTTGTATAAATACCTTTGTTGTACTTGTGAAAAATATGTGTGAGTTCAAACTTTTTTTCTTATAAATTCATATGGTATCAGAGCCTACCCTCTGAATCCTAATTTCCCACATCACAAAATTCATTATGGCCGCTGAGAGACAAAACTCGATGTCCGAAGTGACCTCTAATCCAGAAACGACGTCAGTGACGAACAATCACGGAGCCACCGAAAATCCGTCTCTGCTCATTACAGGCCACAAACTCAACGGCCATAATTTTCTCCAATGGTCTCAGTCAGTGATGATGTCTGTGGAAAAGGGAAGGATTAATATCTCACTGGTGAAGCCACCATCCCTGAGAAAACCGATCCAAAATTCAGAATATGGAAAGCCGAGAATCACATGGTGATGTCTTGGCTGATTAATTCAATGGAAAACGATATAGGAGAGAATTTTCTCCTCTTTGGGACTGCCAAAGAAATTTGGGATGCTGCAAAAGAGACATACTCAAGTTCTGAAAACACATCAGAAATATTTGAGATTGAATCCACCCTACACGACCTTCGACAGGGAGATCTCTCTGTTACCCAATATTTCAACACCCTTTCTCGTCATTGGCAACAGCTTGACATGTTTGAAGTTCATGCCTAGAAGAGCCCTGAAGATACCGTGCTGTATCGAAAAATTGTGGAAAAGAAGCTTGGCCTCAACAAAAATCTGGACGAGGTCAGAGGGAGAGTAATGAGCACCAAACCTCTTCCAAGCATTAGAGAGGCCTTCTCAGAAGTTCGCCGTGAGGAAAGTAGGAAAAAGGTTATGATGGGATCTCAAAATTCTGCTCCATCTCTCGAAGGATCTGCTCTTGCAGTGCGAGGCCCTCCATCAAACACCAATAGCGAAAATCGTCAGAGAAAAGGAAGACCTTGGTGTGACTACTGTAAAAAATTAGGACATCACAGAGAAAATTGCTGGAAACTTCATGGCAAACCAGCTGATTGGAAGCCATCTAAACCAGCCTAAGATAGAGAAGGTCGTGCCCATAATGTCACTGCAATAGAAGAAAAGCCAGCCTCAGCTGAAACCAGTCCTTTCACCAAAGAACAGCTTGAGATGCTACAGAAACTCTTAAGTCCAGACTCCCAACTCACTTAGCAGTTTCTGTATCCAGATTCCTTTGCAAATACCAAGAGCTAGAGATCTAAACTCAGCTTCTGGAACAAGCATGTTAGCACAAAGAGGTAATGTTTCAAACGCCTTTACAGTAAATAAAAAGGGACTCAATCCATGGATTATTGACTCCAAAGCCTCAGACCATATGACAGGAGATGGAACCTTATTTCATGGATACGGACCTTGTAATGAGAAATACACAGTTCGGATTGCCGATGGTCTTTATCCAAAGTTGCTGGAATAGGCTCAAGCAGGGTTACAAATGACCTGATCTTAAACTCTGTTCTACATGTTCCTAATTTGGATTGTAATTTACTATCAATCAGCAAACTAACTCGTGATCTCCAGTGTGAAGCTAAGTTTTTCTCAAACTTGTGTGAATTTCAGGAACTGGATTCGGGGAGGATGATTGACAGTGCTGAGATGTGTTCTGGACTCTATCTTCTCAATGATAATACTTCTCTAATAAGACAAGGTCAAAATGCAAGTTGTGTTTCGTTTAAAAGTCAGTCAATTTTAAATTCCTATGTCAATAAAGATAATGCGGTCATGTTATGGCATTTTCGTCTTGGTCATCCAAATTTCATGTATCTTAAAAAATTGCTTCCATCATTATTCATCAATAAAAGTCCAAATCAGTTCAGTTGTGAAATCTGCCAACTTGCAAAACACACTCAAAGTAATTACCCCAATCTGTCATATACACCATCTCAACCATTTGCAATGATTCATAGCGATGTGTGGGGACCCTCGAGTAAAAAATATAATTGGAGACGGTGGTTTGTATCATTTGTTGATGATCACACTAGATTGACCTGGGTATTCCTAATGAAAGAAAAATCTGAAGTTGGCCAAATTTTTCAAAACTTCAATTCCATGATCCAAACTCAATTCCAGACCAAAATCAAAGTTCTCAAGACTGATAATGCCAAAGAGTACTACAATTCTACTTTGGGTCGTTACCTCTTAAGTCAGGGAATAGTACACCTAAGTTCCTGCATTGACACCCCTCAATAAAATGGGGTTGCAGAAAGGAAAAACTGGCATTTGTTAGAGGTAGCTAGGTGTCTCATGTTTTCCACTCATGTTCCTAAGCATTTTTGGGGAGAGGCTGTACTTACAGCCACATACCTCATCAATAGAATGCCCTCCAGGATTCTTAAATTCCAAACTCCTTGTCAATTCCTTATCCAGATCTTTCCTCACACAAAATTCATCTCTTCATTCGATCCAAAAGTATTTGGGTGTTCAGCATTTGTACACATACATCAGCAACACCGCAGCAAGTTAGACCCCAAATCTATTAAATGTATCTTTATAGGGTACTCTTCACACCAAAAGGGTTATAAGTGCTACTCTCCTATCACCAAAAAGGTATATAACTCTATGGATGTGACATTTTTTGAACACCAATCCTACTATCACAAAACCGACATGCAGGGGGAGAATATGAGAACATATGAGTTTTGGGAAACACTTAATTTTGATGAAACACTTGATCATGGGGACACCTTACAGTTACCTCCACCTAATTCTCAAACAAGTGCCCGTCAACAACCAAAGGCCATTAACCCAATTTCAATTCAACATCCAGTGGCTGAACCACCACAAACAGAACAATCTAAACATGAGAGTCATCTTCCTACTACCCCACCGCAAACTCCGGTTCAAGTTCACTCTAAAACACCACAAACTGCAAATCATGAGCTTCGTGTCTATACTAGAAAGAGAAGGCCCGAGAGGGCAATAGAGCAGCAAACTCCTCTCACATATGACCAAGAATCTCAACCGAATCCGATTTCTGCTCAAATTCACTCAGATAAGGAAACCACTGATCTTGAAAATGCAGCACCACTTATAGATGATTTAAACATTCCGATTGCTTTAAGAAAGGGTGTTAGAACCTACACAAAACATCCTATTTCCAGATTTGTTACATATGATGGATTATCACTGTCCTACAAGGCTTTTGTTTCGACACTTGATAGTGTACAAGTTCCTAAGTCTATTCAGGAGGCTCTCGAGAATCCAGAATGGAGAAAGGCTGTTAATGAAGAAATCAAAGCTTTGGAAAAGAATGACACATGGGCAATCTGTGATCTTCCTCCAGAGAAGAAGCCTGTTGGGTGTAAGTGGATTTTTACGGTTAAGCATAAGGCTGATGGAAGCATTGAGAGGTTGAAAGCTCGCCTTGTTGCCAAAGGATTTACTCGGTCCTATGGAATAGACTATCAAGAAACCTTTGCTCTAGTGGCCAAGCTCCACACCATTCGAGTCCTTTTCTCCCTTGCAGCAAATCAAGATTGGCCACTACATCAACTAGATGTCAAAAATGCTTTTCTAAATGGTAACTTGGAGGATGAAGTGTATATGGAGACACCACCGGGATTAGAAACTTCTTTCAGTCACAATAGGGTGTGCAAACTTAAGAAATCCCTGTATGGACTCAAACAATCACCTCGAATATGGTTTGGTAGGTTTGCAAAATCAGTAACTAAGCAGGGATATACTCAATGTCAAGCAAATCACACTCTATTCGTGAAGCTCTCTTCAGAAAAGAAAATAGCAATCCTAATAGTGTATGTGGATGATATAATCCTAACAGGTGATTATGAAGAAAAACTATCGAAAATGAAGAAACATTTAGCAATAGAATTTGAAATCAAAGACCTCGGCCAGCTCAGATATTTTCTTGACATGGAGGTGGCTCGGTCTAAGAAAGGGATATTTGTATCCCAACATAAGTATGTTCTAGACTTACTGGTATGATAGGATGTAAACCTAGTGATACCCCAATGGATTCAACCAAGAAGATAGGAACTGAGAAGGACAGTGCACCATTTGACAGGGGGAGATACCAGAGACTTGTAGGACGTCTCATCTATCTTTCTCATACCCAACCTGACATTGGATTCTCAGTTAGTGTTGTGAGTCAATTTATGAACAATCCAACAGAAGAACAATGGAAGTGGTGAATAGAATTTTGAGGTATCTGAAGATGACCCCAAGAAGAGGACTGCTGTACAAAAGAAATGATACAAGAGATGTTGAAGTTTTCTCAGATGCAGATTGGGCAGGAGATGTGACAGACAGGCGATCAACATCTGGATATTGTTCTTATGTATGGGGAAATCTCGTGACTTGGAAAAGCAAGAAACAGTCAGTGGTCTCAAGAAGCAATGTAGAAGCTGAGTTTAGATCTCTAGCTCTTGGTATTTGCAAAGGAATCTGGATACAAAAACTGCTAAGTGAGTTGGGAATAACTACTACGAAGCCAATCAAGATGTTCTGCGACAATCAAGCTGCCATAAGTATTGCAAATAATCCGGTGCATCATGATAGGATGAAACATATTGAGATAGATCGACATTTCATCCCAGAAAAAATTGAGAAGGCAATTGTACACTTGATCTATACTCCTACACGATCCCAAACGGCTCATATACTGACTAAAGCTCTTCCACGAACTAACTTTGAAGAACTGAGTCACAAGCTATGCATGTACAATATCTTCGCCCAGCTTGAGGGGGAGTGTAGAATTATAGCGTAAAGTAAGTGAGGAATTGTAGGGATTTGTTACAGTTATTTTTGGTATCTTGTTCCTAGTTTAGTGCCATTCCTTGATTTGTGGAGATCCACTCCTCAATTAGGGCTGATTGAGTCCAGGTTTTATGATGGCAGATTCCACCATCACCTTGTATAAATACCTTGTTGTACTTGTGAAAAATATGTGAGAATTCAAACCTTTTTTCTCAGAAATTCACAAATATCTTTATCCAAAAAGAAATACCATTTTGGTCTTCTTCCAACCGTTCACCTCCATTCCCCATTCCACACCACCCCCTCTATAACCTTGCCGACAACCACTCCAGCCCTCTCCTTTCTCCTAGCAACCACAACTCCCTCTGACCTTGAACATCACCACCCACAAGACCTCCCCCTGCCCCCAAATTTCCATGTCAGCCCCACTTCCAAACTGTCCAGTACCATTTCCTCGATCCCCCAACATAACCCATGACCTCCGCCACAGCACACACATCGTTCACGAGCGCAAACAAAATTACAAATATACAAACACTAACCACACCTAGAGCTTTGCTATAGAACAAAATATAAAATATATTCATGTTAAAATGTAAACTTTTATCAAACTTTAATAGTCAGAGAGACGAGATAATATCCAGAAGGTATTTTAATAGTCATAGAGACAAGATGAGGTCTGGAAGGTCTTGATTTCTTGGAGAAACAAAAGCATAAGCAGTCATAAGTGTTTTGAGATTTTTTTTGTTCTTATAAATTTTACAATTGCGCCTATTATGCATTGATTTGGCATCGTGAAGCTTAAACTGGATCTTAATAATATAATTTGCGACTAACAACAACTGTAGCTAACTGGAAGCATGAAGACAAACACAACATGCAGAAAAAGGGAAAAAAAAAAAGAAAATTTTGAGAAATACTGATATAACTAGATGAAAATGTAGACAGTAATTATATGAGATAAAAGGACCAAGAGAATTAATCAACTTGAAAAAAATAAAACTCATAAACAAACTTAATTACGCTGTTAAGTTCTGATCTTTGCATGAAAAATGCATGAAGTCTCCATATTATAATGTGACATGAACTATCTATTCACAATGTGCTTTAGAAGAGAAAAATATAAAAGTTCTTCGAAAGAATCTGTGATTTTAGAAAACAGAGAAAAGGAGAAAAAGAGCCATGGATCTTCTACTTTTATTTTGACTGCTTGAAGGTTTCAAAGCAGAACCTGTTAGAAACAAAAAGGTAAATATTCCAATCAAAAATAGAAAAACTGGATCTAAATGCACATTTTGGAGCTGAAAGAACAAGATCACAGTTAAGCTTTAAAAGTGAAAGGATTTCAATGGATATAGCTCAAGCTCCTTAATATTTCTACCTCCGTAGCAAGTTTCATCTTTATTTGGTACAAAGTTATCAGTGAAAGTTGAAACAGAACTATCCAATATCTTTTTTGTCCTAAAATACAATAGCCAATAATCCATAATCCCATTTTGCACTTTCAGATAGTAACTACTTTGGAAAAAAGCCATTTCATTTGCTCATTTTATCATGAAAAAGCTCCAGAAACCAGATTTATTTCCCCAACCATGATATTGGTACAGGACTATATCTGCATTATGATCAACTGAATCACAGAATTACCTGTTAACAAATTGCACAAAACCACATCCCTTTCCAGCAGGTATCTTCACAGAGACAACCTCACCAAATGGAGTAAAAGACTCTCTCAGCTCTTCATCAGTGACATCAGAGTCCAGTCCTCCCACAAATATCTAGTCCGGAGTTAGTGAAATATTGATATATACAAATTTCTCAAAACAAACTTCTCAAGAGGAGCAGGACTCACGGTTGTGTTAGATGAATCATTTTCAAATTTAGAACCTTGAGACATGGCACCATTCGATGTATATCCACCTGATAATATAACGGCTAAACAAAAAAAGTAAGCCAAAATTTTGGAATTATGCTAAAATAGATCCCATTACACACTCTAATTGACAGCACACAAAAGATTTGTTTAAGAATTGCCATTTTGAAACTATTAAGAATAAAGTGAGAGAAGTATGGAAAAGACTAAGTGCATGTTTGGTTCCAATTTTTCACCCCAAAACATCAATTTTTTTACTGTTACTTCCCTAAATCAGTCATCATTTTTTACTTCTTCTCTCACAAGTAAGACCCACTTTCTCTCTAACGGTTAAAAAATCAATTCTCATAATCCCTAACAAACAAGGCCTAAGTTAGAAACTTTTGAAGCTTTAGGTATCCTGACAGATCTTACGAATAATGAGTAGAGATCAGAATATGGCAATGGGAAATTTGTGGAGCTTTTGTTACTCCTTTTCATGAAAGAAAGAGAACGTCAATCATCAATGGGGGAAGAAAAACAAAGTTCACCTCAAATGTTTATATTACTGTGAATCACATAATAAATAGTCTCGGATTATCCTTATTTTTCAACTTCGAGTAGATCATTTACTTTAAGTAAAACTAATCTTAGTATACTTGATTTTAAAAAAATAACACTTGAAAGTTAGTATGTTGTTTAGCATGTGGTACTATACTATTTTTATTTTTTTCCGAATAACTTACAACTCAAATCGTGCTGAACTGACCAAAAAATAAATTTCCCCTATGACAAACAACATGGAAAAGGGACATATATAAATAACATGGTAGAGACAAAGAAAATTAATAAGTTTGTTTAATTGATTCCATTCAAACCAAGAACCCCCTTTCAGATGAAATTAAGCAACACGCACAAGCAGGTGCGCTTTAGCTACTAAGCTTTGAAACAACCAATAGGCTTTATTTATGTTCATAGGATTCTAAAGGAACTCTGAGAGTATCCTTATCCGATTTCAAAGAGAGTAATTTTTTGGTAGACAGGTTGCTGTCGTTTGTAACCATATCACTATATTTAGGTGAAAAATTATCAGTGAAAAGCATAAACTTTTTGGCCATAACAGGACACAGAAAGGAGGTATTATATTGCACCTTGTGATGAATACTGTTGCTGTGTAGCTTGTTTCTTGGGGGTCGCAACACTGATTCTCATAGGTCTACTGGAACAATAAACACCATTCATTTCCATCATGGCTCGTGATCTTTCATTTTCATCACCAAACCTGACAAAGCCATAACATTTTGAACGACCGGTGTTCGAGTCAATAACTACTTTTGCACCTTTGACAGATGGATATTTACTAGCAAAGGTTTCATGCAGTAGCGCATCAGTAACCTCACTATCCAAATCCCCAACAAATATTGACAGATCAGAACCACCGTCTGTCCTCCTATCACCAGCGCTAAAGGCTGCCCAGTTTAGGCGAAAGGTTTGATCTGTATTTGGCATCATGCAGTCACTGTAGCCTTGCAGCACTTTCTCTGCTGCAGCATGAGAACGGAACTCAATGAATCCATATCTGTCTGATTGACCAGTATGCTTATTGCGAATCACCTTAACAGAAACAACCTGAGTGTTCAAGTTATTAAATGTGAATAAGAATTCCTCTTGGACAAATCTTTATTTTTCCAACACGTTTAAAAGGTCTCAAAAGTGAAATTGAACTCATTCATTTCATGCATCAAATGAAGATAGAAAAAACAGCTGTTAGTATCTCACTCTTTGATATACTAAGAGTGCTGTCCTTTTCTTTTAAACTCCAAAAGCAATTGGTTATAGCTAGCTTCCGCTCTTCATTTTCAGCCATTCAGACAATTCAACCAAGAGGAAAAAGGAAATCGATAAAAAAAAAAAAAAAAAAAAAAGGAAATGTAAATTTGAAAATGAATTGTTTG